AATATTATGTTAGCCTAATACCTCAAATATTGAGATATATTTTATTTTGTCACTCTATCTTTTGGATTATATATAGTCTTAGTTTCAATATAAATAAATTATTTATATTTGTTACGGGTTAAAGAACAGAATGGACACGTGGCGTCACGTCACGACGGTGGGACCAGCTTAATTCGATCAGGATATGATTCTCTAGCTTCAGTTGTGAGTTCCGAGGCCCTGGCTACCAATCCGAGGCCCTCGTTATTACTCCGAGGCCCCTCCTTCTAACGTCCGAGGCCCATCAAAGATCCACTTATGAGGATTCGGCCATGATGAAAATCTCTTATAAATGATTGATGTGACTTTTGTGTAAAGCTTACTTATGTCTTGTCTCGTCAATGTCAGAGCATTTAATGTTAGTACAGCTAGGAGAGTCAACTTGATTGCTAGGATTTGAGGTCTTGGTCGAGGAGATGAGGCCACGTGTAAGTTGATCCAAAGGTCACAATTTGAGTTGTAACACTATAAATACCCCAACCATGTAACAAGGAAGGGGATAATGAAAGATTGAAGAATAAACTGAATCTTTTGGAGCCATATTTCTCTCGTTTCAATATCATTTTTTACAACATTTTTGTTACAATACAACCCTGTTATTTATCGATTGGATTCTTATACAATCGTATTTCTTTTGTGCCGGTGACCTGAACGGAAACGTCTCGTGCCTTTTTGCTACTCCCACGCCCATTCACTGGAGTTCTCATGACCGTTAATCGGCATTAGTGTGTTGGATTAAGCTTACGTGTGCACGAGTGGGCCCGACATCTGTTGGCAACATTTTTTGGGGTCAACAATATTTAAGTATTGCTTGGCTTTTAAAAAAATTATGTTTTACGCTTCGTAATAATTAGTTATATACGCTAAAATTTTCAGAATTAGCTCTGCATATGCGGTGTCAAGCACGCTGCCACTATGTTTATGCTGGGTTTTGTTTTAAAAACTTTGCATCAAAATGTGCCTCTTCATTCTTGAATTATGTCCTTACGAGTTAAAATTCATAGAACAACATAACATTAATAACCCCAAATCTTTGAAACCTAATTCACATTTTCGTGAAGTTCCTTTTATTTTTCTTTTAGTCGATTTCATTTGTGCTTTTTGCAATCTAGATTAAGGCTTTGATATTTCGCAAAGCTATTTGTTTGGAGTCCTTAAAGCATATCAAATTCAACGATATGGAGCAAATAACGCTTTTACAATAGCGCTAATTAGCAATTCAAGTCGATACATATTTTTCTTCTTCATTCTTCTTGTTGCGGCAGAGTTTGATTCGTTTGGTGGTTCGTTCTTAATCATCCAAACATCTTCGTGAAGATTTTCGAATGTCTTCTTTTTCAACAGTTTCTTCCTAGAATCAAATAACATAGACCAAACCTTGTACACCAGTACTATATTGTGGAAAAAGAATAAAACTTGTTTTTGTTTAGTTTCTATTATATAAATATTTCTTGTATTTATGAGGACAAAGTTTACCCTTCTCCACCCCTAATTTTATAGGGGTCCGTTTGATTCAAAGATGAAATTTGGGTAAAAAATGAATTGAATTATCTAGAACTTGTTTTACTGAGAATTGTCAATTAATTGTGTTTGATTGATATAATTTTCCATCTGAAAAATGTTGAAATTTTCTATCTTTTGATATCCATCTGGCTTTGTTTTTCATGAAATTGTCAATTAAAGAAATATAATTTCTTACAATTGGGGATATAATTTGTTTGAATTGCCAAAAAAAAAAAATGGAAAATTATTGGTGTTCATTTGGCTTTGTTTTACATGGAAATTGTCAATTAAAGGGATAATTTTTTTTTTTTTATTTTATAATTGGGGATATAATTTGT